TTTTGGATTTTTTCTTAATCGTTTGTATTTAGCAATGAAGCATAGGTGCTTCTCAAGTATACCTTCGTTTCTTTTTTTCTGGCCATTAAAAATCATACATTATATGCTTATTACGTGTATATTAAATGTGGCACATTTTCTAATCCTATTAGTATTATATTTCATTTGGAAAACAATGCTCACACTCTAGCCATTTCATTCAGTGTTTCACTTTCCGCTTGAAAAAGCGGAAATTACGGTATAAAACAATATTACTAAAACTTGTAGCAACAACGGCATACGATTACGTGTAGTATAGATAAAAAGCAATATTATATAGACGATAATTTGAAAATTGACTAATTACTACAAACTTCACAGGCAGTTATTTATAGTTCACATCGTATGTGCGTGTCTTCTATTAATTTATCGTGAATCTATAAACAACTTTCGTTATATAAATGACTAGAGTATTACCCTGAATCACTCAAAGTACAGAGTATTAGTTTTATGTTTTACGTTCGACCGATAGTTAATGTGTACATTCGATTTTAATTATTTATTTAAAAAATCTCCACTGTTTTTCGCATGTTATTCTGCGTTATATATATACTATATACGTTCGTGACACTATAACGTTACAACATGTGATGTGATTTCTTGATTGTAAATTGATTTGCCATTTTCTCATTTTTTTCTTCTTATTCTTGCAATACATATTTTTAAACTTTTTTTTCTTTTTGTATTATACCTTGTATAACGAATACGTTCGTACATACTTATGAACGGCACTAGAAATCAGTCAGCAGTTTTGCATATATAATGGCTAGTATTGTGCAATTATTTATATTATATTAGTTACATTGTTAGCCATAATTTTGGTTCCAAAAGAAACTATAATTGCATTCGGTAGATATATGTCGTAACATCGCGTATATATATGTATATACTTATTTATATATCGTATTCACACAAAGTCCTAGATAAAATATGCATTTGGTAAAAATAACGATCTAAAATGCTTGCTAGTTATTAGGAATTCGTACGAGATTTCTTCCTTTTTTTTTTTTTTGGGGGGGTTAGAAAAATGGTTTCGGTTTTCTCAAGGGAAAAAGGTGTCTCTTATCCTACGACGAAAGCGCCTCGAAAATGATAAAGTGGAAAAAAGGAAAAACGAAATAAATATCGTTCTTGAAAACTTGATGAAAATTCCTATTAGCGTGGGCGTATACATATGTAAGGAGAGATTCAGCGGTGTTTAAGTAACGCTAGTTTGGTATAAGTCTTGCACGGGCGTTAATAATATTATTGTCGAATGATCTAAAAAACAAATGAACTTACAATTCTTTGAGATGCTCTTCGATGTAATCTTTCAGTATCTATTTTTTTTTTTTTTTGTTATCGATGAGAAATCCAGTTATATCTTGGATCTTTTTTTCTTTTTGTTTTTTGTTTATATGGCGGTCGGTAGGTGTCAGTATATAACTCTTATGTTAATGTGAATGTTTCGTTACGAGTCTGTAACTTTGAATTTTTTTTTTTATACTTACACGGTGTCATTATCCAGTGTATTCGATTGATTGTTGATACCGTTTCCGTGATTTGTATGATGACCATTCAGTTCTCCTTCCACTTTACCCTGATTATTATCCAATACAATTTTACTTTCATTCATGCCGTTACTATGCGTGCCACTATGCACAATGTCCGTAACAGTATTGTTTTCCGTGTGATGAGCTCGCTGCTCTCCGCTAATAAATTGTTGAGTCGCTTCTGATATCAGACTGGCTGTCATTACGTCTTCGCTTTTGCTACCTGGTGCTGATTTATTTTCATCATTGGGACTGTCTTCTTTCAACTTATCGCCATCACCACCTTCTCCCTACGCAACAACGACAGAAACAAGATCGTGATATAAACAAATAATCGTACAAAGCGTAATTACGTAGATGGCAATGGCAAAAAATGATCAAAACTACCTTTGTAGGTGTATTACTCTGATTCTTGCCCCGAGTTCTAAGCATAATCGCCTCGACGCGTTTACGTCTAGCATGTCTTTCCTCCTCTTCCCTCTTAAGACGCTCGGCCATTTCGATCCGTTGTCTGTAACAAGAACAACGACGCACAATTCCCATGGTTAAACACTTGATCGCGGATAAAATGAAAAGTTCTCGATACAAATACGGCAACAACAACCGACCTCTCCGCTTCTTCTCTCGCTTTCCGTTCAGCTTCTTCCTTCTCCTGTTTTTGACGAGCTTCCTCTTCCCTTCTTCTCCTGTCCTCTTCTTCGCGACGTTTCGCTTCCTCGATCGCCAATCTCAGTCTCTGTTCTTCAGCTTCTCGAGCCTCGTTAGCCAAACGGAGCGTTTCCTCTTCCAAGCGACGTTGCTCTTCTTCCTCGGCGCGCAATCTCTCGGCTTCTAAACGGGCTTCATCCTCCTATAGAAAAATTTCTCCGTAAATTCTCCCCCTTTATTCGCGTACAATTCACCACATCTTTTGTACACAGAATTTATCCAGAATCGCACCTGTCGTTGTCGTTCAAGCTCGGCTTCCCGTTCGGCCTGTTCTCTAGCCAATCTTCTACGTTCCGCAATGGCCGCCTTAGCTTCCTCTTCCGTGGTAATCCGGGTCTTCGCTATCATCGAGGCTGTAAAAGAAGAAATCGATCGTTAATGTACAATGTATCGTGTGAACGTTGACTCGCGTACGCACACTCACGATAACTGTTACCCGCAAAATTAAAATATTGGGTAGCTTGTTCAACTCCCGTTTCCCTGGAACGTTAGCGAAAATCGGACGTATCGCGTCACGAACGATTGCCCACTGTATAACTCGACTGCGACTCGACGTATGTATAATTTGAGAGCGAAGATGTATTTCGGGCATTTATGTACGAATTAATGTCTCGAGAACGATAGACTACTCGAATGTAAGACGACTGTTCCGCTCGAATCTGCCGATTTTTTAGGGAGTCCTATCGTGACTCTTCCGCGAATGCAAGAAGGCTTGTCGAGAAGATTGAGTGTCGCCCTTAGCGCGTTTTTTCGTGGAAGAAGTGAGGCGACACCTGCGGGTACGTGAAAGTCTTTGATGTCCTTCGGTGAGAATTCCCGCCAGGTCAACCCTTGGCCGAAAGTGTCGTTACACGCGATCGACCCTTCAGGAACACTTGGTTTACAACAAGTCTTCGGCTATCGAGGACGCAGAAAAACGAAAATTCCACAGCCATCGTTCAAAAGAAGTGAATTATTTTTCGCGTTACTACGAAGCGTCTTTATTCTCAAAAATAGCCTTCCCGCGGGAGCGTGCCATAAACCTGGTCAACGAAGACTCCACCTTCCTGCGCGACGGAACAGTTAATCTTCCCCCATTCATATTCCAATATCACGAGAGGAGAGACCATTTTACTTACCTGACATGTCGACCAGTTCTTCCACGTTGTTGTCGGATTTCGCCTCGGTCTCCTTCTTCTCCTGTTTCTCCTCTTTCTTTGTAACTTTCGGTGCTTCGTGAGACTGTACACTCGATTGGTTCTCCTGATTCAAATTAGACTCTTCCTTCACTAGCTTCGACACGGAATTAGATTGCTCGATAATGGCCGGTTTCTTCACTTCGTCGCCGCCGTGTTCCGCCGCGCTTATTTCCTGCTGGAAAATTAATTAACAGACGAACGTATATACAAAGGGAACCGATGACTCTCCACCCGAAGAGAATCTCTCTCTCTCTCTCTCTCTTTTTCGCACGTTTCGTTGGTCAAGAGGGTAGAAAATTAATTACTTGTGTTTTCTCGGTGCCCTGGTCTTTCTTCTCCTCGTGTTTGTCCTCTGATTTGATGTCCTCCTTTACCTCGCTCTTGATTATCTCGCCGGTGCTCTCGCGTATCAACGGTGCAATCTCCGCTCCGGGACTCTGCAACGGTGTCGCCCTCGGAGTTATCCGCGGTGACGCTTTCGCGTTCTTCACCAGCTTCTCCGTCGGCTTCTTGATCTCCGACACTGTTTTCGGTGTCGACGGTTTCTTTGGAGTGTTATGGGCCTTTGGCAGTGGCGGCTTCGAATCCTTCGTCAACTTCGTCTCGGCCATCAGATCTATTTTAAATCAATTACAATACTCGCGACACGCGTTACCTTACTCTCATCCCTTACCACACACTTATAAAGCGTAATAATGTATTTCAATGTGCAATCTCTCGGGTCATATTCAGAAAACCAAATATGAGAACAAGTAACAATGAAACTAGCAAGAACAAAAAGAATCAACAAGAAAAAGAAGAACAAAGAAAAACTTACTACAGGTGTAATTAAATTAAAAAGCAAAAAATCACAGGATATGATTAAAACAATCTAACGAATCGAACTAAAAGATGGTATAAAAAAAATGAAAAATAATAAACAAGCGAATAAAGTGTTTTTTTAGGCGAACTAGAGTTCTCGCGTTCGGTATTCACGGATTGTTCTTCTCGCGTTGAAAACGAGCACTACTCTTCCGCGCGCGTGGCTTGTTTCTCGTGTGCCCGATCTCTCTCTCTGCTTTTCTTTTTAAAAAATTTTTTTTTTAATAAGAAGACAGTATTGAAAAGGCATGCTCACTGTGTCGTTCTGTGACCGAAACACCGGTACCGGCAATAGAAGCAGGTCGCGGTCGACGCGGGGCAGCTGTACGGGGACGCAGATTGACGTTACTGCTGCCCACACTGCTGGCGCTTTGCTGACTCATGGAGCTGTGCGGTCGTGATGGGCTGTTCGGTGTCACCTCCCCGCTGCGGATGCCTACGCGTATCCACCCAAGGTGAACATCTCTTCATTTACGTGTATTTTTTTAATGCATTGTGTTGTCGCGCGTTAAACATTAAACAAGTAAGACTGCCGTGAAATGTGCGCGGCAGCTGACTGTAGTGTACAACCACACGTTGCCGCGCGGCATTTCAGAGGAAAATCTTTGCCTATTTTTAATTTCTTTTCTTATCCTTTTCT